CCTAATTTAGCTGGCCGGCGACTGCCTGAGGTGCCGCGCGTGTCGGGATCCTCTGGTAGTCGCCGGCCAGCTAAATTAGGACCCCACCTGGAGCTCCTCCCACTGGACCAGCGCTGACTCGCCGCTGCTCTCCCGCACCGAAGATAAGTGAAAAAAAAAAACATCGGGGCATTTTGACAAGTACTTGTCAAAATGCCCTGTTTTTTCCGCCCTCACCCTGCAGCGCCCTCAGGCGGCCGCCTGACTTGCCTTGCTGTAGCGCCAGGCCTGGCTTTACATACACTTTATGAGAGTATCCCCGGGCTCTCCTGTCCTAAAAGCATGTTAGATGACAGCACCGTGCAATGCAATAGAGCCCTGACTGACTCTGAGAACAGCACAGTCTAAATCAAGGTTCAAGCTTGAGTGTCAGCTCCTTTGTTAAAGAAGAACTCCAAGGGGAAAATATTAATAACCCTTGCAGTGGGCTACCCCCAAACTGCAAGGGTTAAGTGCTCTTTTTTGTCTGGGTACCAAAAAAATCAGTTATACTCACCCGAGCTGCTGAGCCGACTCCCTGCTTCTCCGTTCACTGAAGCATGTCTCCTCCTCTGCTGCACAGATGGAATGTTGCTCAGCGTCCTTGCATCTATACACTTGTATAGAACGTGGTGATACAAGGATTCTTAGACCACTGCAGCGGAGGGGGAGAGACAGCCTGTAGGGACCAGTCTAAGAACAAGCCGGCTCAAATGATCGGGTGTGAATAACTTTTTTTTCAGCACCTAGGCACAAATGAGCAGTTAACCCTTGCAATGCCCCACTGCAAGGGTAAATGCACTTTTGTACATGCATTTTTTGAGGTCTTCAGCCATAAGTGTTGTTTAAGCCAATTGAAAGCAGGTTAGTAGGAGGAGGATACATTTGTTAGGTATGAACATCGTGTGTTTTGTGTGGTTCTCGTGAGTTTTCAGGTTCTTCCATTAAAGTAGTATTCAAATCTCACACTTTTGTTCAATAATGAATAGAGATGACAGAAATACACATTTCCCGGCCGAGTATTTTTTAAAATGTTTGCATAAACACTTAGTCATCATATTTATGAACAGCTGGCTCCAACTCTCTCAGCTTGGCTTCCCTGAACTTCCTGTCCAATACAAGATGCTCACAAGGGACAGCACAGTCTGCAGCAGCCTTTCATCTACTGGCTTGGAGGAAGGAGTGCAAGGTCACTAGATTGCCTTGCGGTGCCTGTGTATTTGTGGAGACGCACACAGCTAACTAGCACACACAAGGGTGGCTGCAAAGGATTCTGCAAGGGAAAGGAGCCACCCTCAAACAGAATATCAGGGCCAGTGTTTGGGGGGACCAGCTGATTCTGCAGGAAACTAAAACTTTTAAATATCAAGGGCCAGCATCCATTGTAAGTGACTTCATCAGCATTTGAAATTGCCTAAAACCATTTTGACTTTCATATTACTTTAATGCCTAAGGAGCCAGAAATCAGCCTTCCTGCCCTAAAGAAGCTCCTGTACTTCTTAGTCACGACAAGTGATAGTACATCACTCAGATGTGAACAGGCGCCATAGAATAAAATGGAAATCTTGTCACACTTCTGGAGACACACTTCAAGTGGCTCATGTGTGAATGGGGGCTAAGTGCCGCCTTACCTTTTATCCAGTACTGGTGTTTTTTTTTTATAGCTGAGCATTAGAGCTTTCAGCCTTATGGAATTACACTTCTGCACTCCATATACCGATAATAAAAGGTCTTTTTTGCTTTACAGAGGATTTGGCAGAGAAATGAACTGGGACAAAGGAGAAGGGGATCCAACCCTTTACTATGTGTTTGGAGTTGCATGTTCTGAGGTGGAAATAGACTGTCTTACTGGAGATCACAAGGTACAGATATCACAACAAAACACATGTAACAGGTTTCATTTTACTTAAGTCAGAACTCCAGAAACAAAAACATTCATTTACATATATTCCGCAATAGTCACAAAGGATATAAATCCACCAAATGCATTTGCAAAAAAATGTTATGACCTTGTAAAAGTAGTGGTGACATCATCACTGTGGTGTGCATAGCCTGTGCAGAGAGCAGAGCTGTGGGAGGGACTCAGCTGGCTCTACCTACTTTTGGCTGCCTGCAGAAAACTACAGGAGGGGGCGGATACAAGACCAGTCACCCTGCACAAGGACAGAGAGCAGCAGTGAGCGGTCTTTATTACAGGAAGCTCCTGCACAAAATTAAAGTTTCTCACCTAATTACGACAGAGATCTGGAATAAATACACAAAGCACACCAAGAGTCAAGTAAGAGTACACATGGCTCTTGTTTTAGACAATGTTTGCTTATCCCAGAGTTCAGCTTTAACACATTGTTCATATAATGAATCTGTAAAGCAGGAATATAAAGTATGTATGTAACTATGTTGCCGAGGGCCAGATTTACTCTCGCTGCTGCCCCAAGGCAGGGTTCCTCAATTTTTAATTTATGTTGTATTATTTTTTTCCACATCTTTATTACTGTCACACAGGAGCTAACAAGCCCCGGTGTGATAGCATTTGGAGGTGACAGCTTCTCTTTATTGAACTTGTCACCTCCAATACAGGAGTTTGAGCACAGCACTGTGCTGGCTCTCCTGTGAAAGCTGAGATGAGGTGGAGGCTGCGAGTGCAGCCCTCCCGTCTCAGTGTTCACACGGAGCAGAGTGGAGAACGGACATCTCCACTCTGTGCCCCGCTCTCCATCCTGAACGAATGTGCCATGGTCCCAGGTCCCCCAGAAGAGCGGGGGACCTCGAAAACCTCGGCAAAGAGGGAGGCAGGCAGCAGGGACGGAAGCAGTGAGGGGTGGACCATGGAGGGGGCAGCAGGGGGAGGACGAACCTGCAGGCTTAGTACAAGTGATCTCAGCAGCATCGCCGGGATCACTTGTATTAAATGAGCGGTGGCTTTCACACATTTAGCCCTGCTTGCCCAATGCAGGGCTAAATGTAGAAAAAAACGACCTACCCGCCCCTCTTCTCGCTGCTGCCCCAAGGCCTTGTTGGAAATCCAGCCCTGATGCTGCCTGTATGTATCTGAATGCAAAGTAATGACTTGAAAATGGTTGTCTCAACATTTCCTGCCTTTCTCACCCTAAGTTCTTAAAGTGCTTACAATATATCTGAAGGCAAAACTTTTTTTTGTCTTGGATAGAATTTGTGGGGATTAGAACCCCATCAGGTTATGCCCCTGCTAGGGAGATTCATTCTCTCTACTGTGTTTGACCTCACTTTGGACATATTCTGTGTCACTTCCTGTTGTGTCTGCGGGACAGGAAATAAAGGAAAATCTCTTGAACAGGACACAGGCCGCAAAAAAAAACAACAATTTCCTACTCTATCTAAAATGGAAAATGATTTTTGAGGGTTTTTTTAAGTTGATTTTAGATATACTTTATTGTGATAGGCAAGCTCAGTAACCAACAGTGAGACAAGAGAAGACAATGAGAGGTACCAGAGAGTAATTGCGTGACAACAGTTGATTTAAATCACTTACTACACTGTAAAAATAATCCGTTTTGTAACTTCTTCTCCTGCTATCAGAACCTCCGGACAGACATTGTCATGGATATTGGCTGCAGTATTAATCCGGCTGTGGACATAGGGCAGGTATATGATTTAATACCATTATAAGCATGTTTATATTTATTGTCGGGTACTGTTTCAGTATTGGTGTTGTAAAGTGAAAACGTCTATCAGTAAGATACTTGAAGATTTGGTTTATTTAGGTCCTGTGTGTGCGGGTGTCCATACCATAAGGCAAGGTAATAATTTAAAGAAATACCCCAGGCAAACATTTGATTAACCCTTTCAGTGGGGCAACCCCCAGACTGCAAGGGATAACTGCTCATTTTGGTCTAGGTGCTAAAAGAAAAAAGTTATACTTACCTAAACCTTGGAACCGGCCAGCTGTCACAGCTCTCCCCCCAGCCTGTCTCCGCATACACTGCAGCACTGGCATGTCCCTCTGTGTCCTCGAGCCCTATGCACTGTGTATAGAATGTGATGACTCGAGGATCTGAGCAAGTCGGCTCTGAGAATCCAGTGAGTATAACCTTATTATTTTAGTCCCTAGATGAAAACAAGCAGTTAACCCTGCTCGTTTCCCCACTGCAAGGGTTAATAACAATATTTCCCGGAGTTGTTCTATAATTGATTACCTTGCCTCATGGTATATTCTTTAACTGGGAAACAAGGGACAAGACAGAGCGCCTCCATAGTGTAAACGTGTAATTTATTTGTACAACACGCAAATAACAATGTACTTACAGGAAAGTCGGTGGTTAAAAGCATACAAATGGTGATGAAGTATAAAAACCTCTGATGAAGGGGGCGTGCCCCTGAAACGCATAGACCTTTAGAACTCAAGGGGGCAGAGGACGCTGATGTGCTGTACTCCTTCAGACTTCCGCTGCTAGAGATTTTATACTTCATCACCATTTGTATGCTTTTAACCACCGACTTTCCTGTCGATGGTCTTTTTGACCAGTGAGAGCTGCCTTTTGAGTGTTTGAGCCAACTTCACAACCAGCCCATCTTGCAACCAGAGGCGCCGGTATTGGTTTTTTCGTATATTCTTTAACTACTTCCTGCTTAGTGGAAGGAGAGCCAATGGTCTCTTTCACCCGTTCAGTATACAACAACTATAAGGCCCAGATTTTGGGAAATGCCACACACCACACAACTTGGGGCAGCAAAGTCTAAGGGGGCTATTCACAGAAGAGCCGAAGGATCCAGCCATAGCTTCGGCTCTCTTTGGCTGCCGGAGCCCTTCTGTTCAGTCGAACCGACGGGCTGCTGTACGGGCTATTCACACGGGCTGATCTCACGGCTGGCTCCGCTCAGTTGTAATGACAGATCAGTGTCTCCACTGAATTTGACCTGGGAACGCTGATCTGTCAATAAACAATAAACAACTTGGCGGAGCCGGAGGTGATGTCACGGCCGGCTTCGCCCAGTTGTTGTTCATTGGCCGGCACCTGCTAGAAGACTCTAGCAGGTCCCGGCCAATAGGAAACAGTTGGGCAGAGTTTTTTTTTCTATTTTAAGAAATCTTTATTTTTTCTTATTGTACTATTGATTTACATTTTTTTACATTTTTTCTAACCTTTTTTCTATTTTCTATTCTGCTCGGTACCACGGAGGTACCAAGCAGAATAGCCGAGCCGAATGCCGCTCGGTGGCATTCGGCTATTCACTCACTGCTGTTCGGCCCCTATTTGAATAGGAGCAAATGGCACAGAGTAAGCTGCCGGAGCTTCAGCTCAGCCGATCCAGATGTTGGATCGGCTGAGTCGAAGTCCTTCTGCACTTCGGCTCAGCCGAACATGCAGAGCATGTTCGGCTGACCGACGTGCAGCCGATGTACGGCTGACCGAAGTGCAGCCGATGTACGGCTGAAGTCAGCCGTACTGAGCCAAAGGGAATAGCCGAGCGTTGTTCGCTCTGTAGATTTAAATGTGGCGCCCACAGAGCATACTGGATAGCAATTTACAACTCTTTGAGCAGCTACATAGTTGAACTTGGGAAGCATCAAACAACTATACATATAAAGTAGAAATGAGACACATATAATAGGCTTCTACTACAGTCCAGTCTTTAAACACTTTAACAATGAGCCCCTCTTGAACATTTAACGAATGTAAAATGAGCAAAAACACAGCAAACGGGTGTTTTCAAGCGTTTCCTATTGAGTCTATGGGGCCAAAACAAGCTGTAATATACCAAAAAAAAGCTCCTGTACTTTTTCCAGCGTCAGGCATTTTGCTTATTGCGACAAAATGTTCAGATGTGAAAAGGGCCATAGAAATGAATGGTATTTTTTGAGTGTTTTTAACTACCTCCCAGCCAGCCGCGCGAGCGGGAAATCCCCGCTATTTGAAAAGAGGCAGC